TACTTAGATTATATATCCCCCTAGAAAGATTGACTAAAATGAAAATATTAGTCTATCCAGCTGACTGGAAATCGGTATATATATATAGATTTTTGAAGTTCGGAATTTAATCACCTGAAGGGTTTCAGCACTGAAATCATGGGTGACGAAATCAGAGAACAAAACATCAATTAAGCGTGTGTTAGGTTTAGAGTTTTTAGCCCATCAATAGTTGTCTAATCTCAAAACATTAGCTTCTGCATAATAGGTGTTCCAAAGAAACAAGTTCTGAAGATGACCTGAGTAGCTGGATGGTGGTTTTCTCAAATGAACTTATAAACACTATATGCTAAAGTCTAAGAGGCAGTAGTATCTTTCTCAAAGATTAAGTTCTGTATAGCTGAATAAGCCAAGAATAAGAGAAAGCCGAAGCATATAATGTGACCATCGTATTCGAAAATTAAAGTACTACAGAATCTCATTACTTCACTGATTTGCTGAACTGTCTTATTCTATTAACCAATTTTAAAAAACACTGAAGAATGGGGTAGTTATTGAGATTTCTATCGTTTAAATAGTAAGAAGTGGGGTCGAGTGGTCTACTTTTCCATTAAGGAATTCTATAACAAAAGAATAATATAGATTGCCGATATTTTCTTGCTCATTATTAAAAACTAATTTCATTAGCTAAAGGATGGATAATCACAGAAACAACAATATCAATACAGTTAACATAATTACCAACGATGAATCCGTATTTTGTAGACTACCGTTTGTGTTTAAACCAGTCCCAGACTTTTGTTCATTAATAATCTGTTCCAGAAAGCTTTGAATTTCTCTCGCTCTTGCAGCCAATAACAAAGCACATTCATCATTCATGACTGGTGAATTTGTAATATTAGTAAATTGTGAAGTAAGTCTTAACAGAAGAGAATATGTCGCTGGGTCAGGGTTAGATGATAAACAAAGAATTATTCTAGTATAACAGTTCCCACCAATTTCATCATAGAGTAATTTTGTCAAATCGGACGCACTGTAAATGATTCAAGAATATAAAATGAGATGAAACTGTGATCATGTGAAATTTTATAGATTTGTAAAATTTAACTCAAGTCACGCTTATTTATTGTGCATAAACATTAAACTAAAATATAAGGGTCTTCCTCTTAACTTTTCAATCATTGGATCAAAATTTGAACAACTTCGGTTTCGTATTGGATGGCCTTCGCGAACGAGTAATATGATCACCTTGACACTTAGAAGTGCTTTAACATTAATTAACTTCCAAATCATCGGCTAGATAATCAGTTTGGCCAATTTTTATCAAGTTCCACCGGTTATCGTAAAAGATTAGAGTATACTTCAACTCATTTTCATGTACACAGACAGTTGTGAACATCGGTTTATACGGAAATAAAGGTTGAGGCAGTAAGAAGCATAATAATCAGTGGACAGTAAGGATTGGAACAAGCGACCGCCACTTAAAGATGATACCACAGAAAGAAATTGCTAAAAGACATATGCAGTCAGTGATATACAATAACTGATAATGTCTAATTGTATTGAATAAATGTTATATACTTCCTTGATCGCTTACGGATGAAATCTGAAAAAACTACTTATTCTCAAAGTATGTATTTAGTTGAAAAACAGCAAACTTTTCAGAACTTAGCTAACTAAAAGAAATCGGTATCACTAATAACATTCCTCTCATACTAAACATAAGCTTCATCACTTTAGAAGGAATATCTTGATGAGGCTAGACATAATTAGTCATGTAATATAAATCAAAATGTTAACATTCTTTTGATTTTTACGTATATTACTTTATTCATTTAAGTTTATAAGGTTATTAAGTTAATCTTTGTTCAAGAGTTTGTCCACGAAAAAATTTGAAAAAAATACCTCACTGTGCCTTGAAATATTTTCGACAAAAACAAGTAACTTTTATTCCTATCAAGCAATTAGGTGAAGCAAGGGCAGCCTTCAATCTTCTTGCATTGTTTATTGAACAAACTCAACATTGTCACTTTCATTTGTATTCTTTCTTGACCATTAGGATATCTGTACGATAATCATCAACAATGATTTATCACCTTAGTGTACAACAATGAAATTGTTTCATTTTGAATGAGAAGTGTAAATATCTTTGATGTTTTCGCATAAATCGCTATGCTACTTGTTCAATGAAGATCACATTAGAATATATTTGTTCTTAAATGGCTGATGCTAAATGTAATAGTTGGTGAGTAAACACTTTAGTTTTGTGAAAACATCATAAATCAATTGACACAGGGTTGATGGAGAGCAACTATTCTTGTACGACAGAAACTGAAAGGAATTCGAGAAAAACCTTTTGGTTATTATTGACCCCTCCTAGATAAATAAGAGGATCACGTCATATTGCTTTTCTATTAGTAAATAATTGGGTCACCTCCAGAACTTTAGTTCACACGGAGTGGGTAGTGAGACTCTACTGCATCTTGTAGAGAGAAACATAATATTTTCATCATTTTCGATCACATAACCGTACAAATCTAGAAATCTTGAACTGTAGAATTACTTTACTATATGGACACACCCATCAAACATATCTAGTGGAAAACTATCTGCTTCAGAATACTCAATGTGCCCTCCACAAACTTACGAAATAATTTTAGGTAACTGGTCTCTAGTTTACAAAAATCTATCTTTCAGTACCGATGTTTTGTTTTCATTGGAGTCTGTTTAGGTGTATAAACATTAGTAAATTGGTTTACGAGTCTTACATAAGTAGTCTTTAAAATTTTACGGAACGAATTAAACTTAAGTAGCTACTTCAGTAAGTTAAGTAGGATATGGAATAATATAAGTATAGAAAGTCAGAGTATTGAAAAGTTACTAGTTACAAAACATAATTGACTGAAACAAGTTAGATAAACTAATACCTGTAGTTTGGAAGCTTACGAATACCAGGTTTTCCAGACGCCAACTGAAAAGAAAGGGTGTACAATGATAGTACATTCAGTGAGCTTTGATTTCCGAACTCGATTTGATTTTTCATATCCGAGGAAATTTTTTCGAAGCTAGTGTAACACAGAATGGTAAATTTACTCCTAAACGCTCGTTTTTCCTTCAGGCATGCACCCTGTTAAGTTAAGAAAATGAACAATACAGATATACGTTTAATTTGATCCGAAAAATAAGAATTCCTGGTTCGTTGTTCGGTTCCTGATTGATTTTGCTAATTTCACCGAAATATTTTTGCGATACTTGTTTGCAGACAATCATGGCCGCATTAAGTGAATCTATTCGGGTCTCTTTGATAGGCTTATGAATTTATTTACAAATGTATTTACAAACTGATTACTTCAAGTTGGTAACCCTCGCTAATCGTAAATACTACCCTAAGAACGTCACTCCTGGTTCCAGATTCTTTTAACAGGTCCACAAAACCATCATTTCGAAGAAGAAATGAATGAAATGATAAGACATCTTTGAGAGACTCCAAATAGATGTCACCTGAAAAGTATCAGAAATAAACGAAAAAACTATTACCATAAGATATGTTTCGAAGTATTTCCATAACTGTCAAACTGAGAATGCCACTTTTGTCGTCTTGAGACCCATTTAAAAGTTTACTCATTTCAGATTTGACATCACCATAACACATTATGCATGCATTATAACCAGCAACAAATGCATTGACAAGAGGTTTTAGATGTTTCTCAAACATCTGTATGTTTGTTGTTTCCATATCCAGTATATCGATAAACCTATGTTGAATTTGTTTTAGTTAAAAAACTAATCTCATTATGGTGATCGTAATCACCTGATTTTAATTTAATTGTTGGCTAAAAACTCACCTACATGATGTTCCATCTGTATTGCTGAATAACGTTTGATTTTGTGAGAAATTCAAAGAGGAATTATTCGTAGAGGAATAAAATTTACAAAGTGCATCAATATTCATGCTACGACCTTAAAAATTATATAAGTACTAAAATTTGGCATGGTGATATCCAATATCCAATATGTTCTGCACGAGCTAGTACAAACCCGTATTTGTTCTTTCTTTATGGTTCAATGTATTTTTTTGTTATTTGCAACTGGTGGTACTCTTAGCTTTTGACTTCACTACTTTATTCAGTTGATAGTTATTAATGAATTCACATATCATGTGACTTGCATGAGTTTGTCTAAATGCAGTATCCAATATCCAATATCTTTTTCACGAGCTAGTATAAACTAATTGATTTCTTTGCGCTCGACTTTTCTTTCTTCGGTACGGTTCCAGGTGTTTTGTAGGGACTTCTGAATACCAGTATCTATCACATTACTGGGCCCATAATCAATTAGTTGCAATCTGTATAATCATAAAAAGAAAAGTCCATGGCTGAATAGACTTCAGAAATGAGAAAATGAATAAATTAGTTGATCTATTAGTATTGAAAACTAAGTGAGAGTACAGAAGTGAAAGAAAAGAAGAGGAAACAGAAACAGCGAACGGGGTAGAATGAGTCAGTGATCTTGGTAAGCGACATGCTAACAACATGCGAATTTCTACACCTGCACCATGTAAAAGCTCATCCAAGTCGTAGATGACTGATTTAATCGGTTTCAGTTCGACCTGAACTGGCCTTTGTAAGTTTTTTTACCGGTTATGGTTCATTGAAGAGACGGTACAGTTTGGCCGGATTACTTACCATTTCAAACACTGCACGTATCTACGCCACGGATCGTTACATAAGACAGTCCCACTTTCAGTAAGCTACCCTCCGACTGTGGAATATTACATAAGTTAAGGGATTCTGTCTAACCCCTCTGTGTGAGGTTCGCGGCAGTTTAGAAGTTATGTTGTTAACTTCTTAATTCTTAAAGCTAACTAACTGATACTTACTGCTAACAGACACCGAGGGATTTACAATAACGGTGATTTCATTGGTGTATGAGCTCAGGTCTAAGGTGTCTTTGTCATACGTTCATCGATTCTTCGCTAGACGCATTAAATACACTGATTACAGTTGGTGGATCCTTTTGCTTCCCTTTTCATAATTTTTGATGGCCTATTGATTCTGTAACGTAAACAAACAGATCAGAACCATCGGTAGAGGTGACTTAGCATGAACCCGTAGAACTGTTTCGGTACTGCAGTATCACACCAACAGCAAACGCATTCACTAAAGAAGTTTCAGTGAAGTGCAGCCGCTGTTTTTAACTAGCAGTGTTAACTAGCCATACACTTACCACTGTTGTGTGCTAATCAAATATTATGCTGTGTCATTTGAGTTTTAGGGCACCATTATCCCTTGTTTCATTTCGCTCCCCCAGTCTTACTGGGAGTATGACTCTTGATGGGAATATCGTCTTGATCACTCGGTTGAACACCCGGTCCAGGTGGTTGCGCCTAGTGAACCATGTCCTACGTATAATTCAGAGGTTCACTATCCAATGTCGTTTCAGGCTTTTTCAAAATGATATCACAATTAACTAATCCCAAATAACAGTGAGTTACATTAGGCATTTCAGTTTACGAGCAAGATCGAAATGTTACAAATGCTGCCACATTAACTGTAATAGGTTGCTCAGTTAGTTTGATATAATGATATTACTTTTCTGGTATATAGAGCTCGCTCCATTTTGTACACATGGAAGATCTGATTCAACGACAATTCCAATAACTGATTACAAATAAGGTAGAATTTCCGAGGTGTTATTCATAGTTTGGCAATTATTTATGAATCGATGTTTAAGGATATTCACTTACAGACTCTATAAATAGCTCGGTATGATTACGTTAGTCTGATTCGTTATGCTGACAGAATATAAATGAAGGAAGGAAAATTCCATTTTCTCGGGACTGTCTAACTGTGCCAGTTTATTATCGAAAACGAGGATTGTTTACTGTTTATGAAAAGGGGTTAATGAATTCACGTCAGACACTAAGAGAGCGCTGAATCGCATCAAAGTAACTTTGATCGATTCATTATTGACATCTTCTCTGTAGTTCGTGTTTTAGACTCGTTTTAAGGGTATTACTCACCAGTAATACTT